GTAAGGTTTAAATAATATTTCATGCGGTTACTGTAGGGCTAATACAATACATCACCTATAAACAGCATATGTGAATATTATGTAGACCTATTGTTTAAATCGAATTTATGCTTTAAAAGTAGAGTAATCATAGCAGTTTTCATCCATAGTATGTCCATTTAAACGTCTGAGTTTAGCTTCAAATGGCATCTTTGACGACAGTATTCTATTAAAATTATTTGCATTCCGATCTTGACATCAAAAGGCACAAAAATATTTTTTTCTTTTATTCCATGGATTTTACCCATTTACCTCCACTTGTTCCCAGTGTTTTTCTGCAACCACTATGCAAGTGCATAGTGACGTAACTGTGACATCTACTCTGAATTGGTCTATAGTGCTTCCTCCAGTGAAAAAGTCCATCGCCTGTTGTCCTCTCACATCAAAACCCACTAACATGTTTGTTTAGAACTCTTTTGGACTGTTTTTGCTTATAAACAATGGTTTTTCTGTGCATTTTTCTCTCCTGATTCAGATTAGATGACTTTTTTACTGGAGAAAACAATATTATGGATAAAGTAAGCAACGGTTTGAAGTTAAAAACGTCTTGATGGATTTGTTTATTGCAAATCCAAATATTCCTTTAATCCCCATTCAGAACAGAAATGGTATAAGCAATATAAACAAGACCCTTCAAATTGAAGAAGGCCTTGAGTCGGACACCTCCATGTGGCTATCTGTGACACCAAATGAGACAAAGCTCTGTGCTGTGCCCTCTCCTGCTTGAGATAAAGTGCTACTGTAATAACCCGGTGATCCAATTAAAATTGCATTTCATAAGCACAGAGGCCTTTGGGAGATTACATTCATTTTGGATAGAACAGCCAGCCATAATCTCATACCATGTTCCTCTGAGCAACCGGGGTGAAAACTCCAATCTATGTGTGTTAATCAGCAATGACACTCAAAGCTGTGTTTTGGTACCATGTATTCATATCACTTTTGAATAGAGTGCTTTTATAATGTCTGCCTCTCTTATATTATCTAACGTAATTTAAGATGTCATTTTAAAATGGTGTATCATCTGTGGTTGGACCACACAGTTGCTGCAGTTCACATCCTGTTCGTCCTAAATAGAATGCAAGATTAGAACTAGTAGAGCAGAAATAGAGTAGAACTACAATAAAACTCTTCCACATCAGTTAAGTTAGGATGCAAAACTTTAAATGTATTTTTTGACTGTCATTTGACAGCTTTAGCTGTGACAAGGAATGTAACGTCAAAGCTGCCACACAAGTTTCTTAAATATACTGTATTACCCAGAGGTGAATGAATTTAGCCAAATGCTGATACAGTTTACATGCAAAGTCACAAAGTAAAATGTAATTTATTCCTGTGATGCCCAAGATGCATTTCTAACATTATCCAATATTACTCTTAATAATTGAATATATTATTCTAATAATATCCTCAGAGTTGAAAATGTTTATGCTGCTTAATATTTTTATACCATGATCAATTTTTTTTTCAGGATTCTTTGATGAATAGAAAGTTTAAAAGAAAAGCATTTGTTTGAAATTGATTTTTTTTGTAATAATGTAAATGTCTTGACTGTTACTTTTGAACAATTTAATGCATCCTTGCTGTTAGATTTAAATTAGTTTAAATCCCAAACTGAAATGCGTTTAAATTAATTAACCTCAGGTTCATGTGATCATAAATGGTCAAATTACTTCCTTTTGACCTTTAGACATAGGCGGCGGGTGAACCAACTCCAGGGTAAGGCTAAAAGCAGCCAAATGTATTAAACATCATAAACCAGTCTTTTTAGGCAAGAACTAGACATGGCTAAAAAAATGTTTAATGGGACTGAATTTGTATTTAACGTGAAAATTATATATAATTATAAAAACATTAGAAATTGATGCTAATTATATAACGTTTCCTTTCCACGGTTATTCAAACAGCGAATAAATGATATATAGAAAGTGACATTATCACTAACATTGATCTATCGCGAGTTTAAGCACTCTCAAAAAAAAACAAAACTATCGTTATAATCACTGAAGCTGTATACACTGTTAAATGAATCTCTTACTTACATTGTACGTACATCTGCGCTTTGTTGTTTATGATGAAAGAATTCGCAAGAGTCCGGAATTCAGTCAGCGAACGCACGCGCACTCAACAAAACTGATGAGTTTGAACGATGACTCTCTGGACGCTTCTGATTGGCCATTGCATTGTGTGTGATTGGTTAAAATGCGCAACACTGTAAAAACGCCTAAAATGAAATATGGTGCAACATGAGCAGATTTTAATTTAATGCCGCAATCGACACTGTCTATTCATATTCACTTTGTTAGCAACAGACGTAATAGATTTAATTTATTTGTGCAGGGGCATTTTTGTCCAATTTAGTGCTTCCACAAAACTTACCCATGAGTAATATCGAAGTACTTTTTTTAGTACATTTTTAATAGTGTCAGCATGTGAATTGGGACAAAGCCGGCATCTTCTTTTGGCAGGAGGGTTGGGAGGGGGTGAGTATACTTTTACCTAAATCTGATTAGATCAGATCAGATTAGAACTGAAATTTCTGATGGATGTAGCAGATAAATCATTAGCAATGTGCACTGCTTTTGTTTTAATGGACAACAAGAGAAATGTTTTTACTGACTGTCATAAAGACAACCTAGTAAAAGGCTTTTATTTGGCATTGTTACATTTCCATTTTTATTCTTTGATGCACCCGTGTAGCCAGTGTGAGGTAATAAACAATATCCAGATGTCAGCCACGCCGTGTTTTTTCTTACGCTTATAAAACAGGGAACGCGGCTTCCATCATAAACTGAGCAAATGATTTATTTTGGTTTTATGAAATATGTTAAGATGGTCTCCATGTAGACACACAAGATGACACAAGTATTCACCCATAAATTAAAACCAGCACTAATCAGGAAGCATCTGCCTCTCATTATGATGGCAGACAGCTAATTAGTGTCCATCAAAAGCAGCGGTTCTTTAGATGCTTCCCTGTTGTATGTGTGTGCAGGTGTCTGGAGCTCCACCCCAACAACCTCCAGGCCCTCATGGCCCTGGCAGTGAGCCTGACCAACACGGGCATGAGGCAGGAAGCGTGTGAGGCGCTGCTGAGCTGGATAAGGCACAACCCCAAATACAAGCAACTTCTGAAGAGCCGCACACACCTGCAGGCCTCACCTGGTTCACGGAGACCCTCCTACCCTTCCGCAATGGGCTGGTATGGTTACAAATAAATCCAGTGCCATATAAGAAATATACAGCAGCCCCAAAATGTCATATTTAAGTAAAAATGTGTACATTTCATTACTGTAGAAACAAAATATTAACAAACAAGTACTGTAGTTTGAAAACAAATTATGCTAACCAATTTAGAACTGGCTTCAAGTTTTGGCCATTTTTGCAGTTATTTTCGATCAAAAAAAGGATTTTTTTTTTTAAAGTTATTTTTAGTGGATGTATGATGTCAGTCCCCCTCATGTTAAAACACGTGTCATAGCAGCAGAGGTGGGACCAAGTCATTGTTTTGTAAGTCACAAGTAAGTCTCTTTGCATTCAAGTCTCGAGTCAAGTCCCGAGTCAAGACAGACAAGTCCCAAGTCAAGTCCCGAGTCAAGACAGGCAAGTCCAAGTCGAGTTGCAAGTCCTCAGCTTTAAGATTCAAGTCTTAAACAAGTCATTAGTGCTTTTTGCCCACATTAGTGTCTCAGTATTAATTACCATATCAAATTCATAGTAATTTATATCAGGAAGGCAGGTAGAATATGTTTGACATAGTTCAATTTCATGTGAGATGGGTGCCCTTAGTAAAACTACTCAAGTTCAATTTAGGGATTGTGCCAAAATAGGATAAGCAGTGAATTCCTAGAAATTAAGCCTTGTGCAACATAAAGGGCATATATTTATGTCTATCTGAGTTAGTTTGGGCTCAAGACATAAAAGCCGCAAATAGTTTAATTGGCAAAAAGCCCGAATGTCTAATGAATGTCAAACGTCAAACTAACTTTACCGCCGTTCAAAACGGACAGGGCAGCGCTTTTCACGAGCGGAGATCGCTACTAGACGAATCATGTAATTTGTTATTTTTATTTTTATTATCTCTGTTCTTTTGTCGTAAGTTATGCTATTACTCCATTAATTTATACTAGCCTATCCAGCGCTCCCTGAACGCAGTCTCTGGCTTATTGCCAGTCAAGCGCAAGCACGCTGCAGGGACGCGTCTATAATGACTTTGATCTGATCATAAAGTCTTTCCGAGTCACAGGGCTCAAGTCCAAGTCAAGTCTCGAGTCATTGCTGTCAAAGTCTAAGTCGAGTCTCAAGTCTTCTTTAATTATGTCGAGTCGAGTCGCAAGTCATCAAATTTGGGACTCGAGTCCGAGTCAAGTCTCGAGTCAAGTGACTCGAGTCCACACCCCTGCGTAGCAGAATATATCATTTGTATATATTTGCGTAGATAGATAGATGGATGGATGGATGGATGGATGGATAGATAGATAGATAGATAGATAGATAGATAGATAGATAGATAGATAGATAGATAGATAGATTTTACCCATTTCTATTTTCATATATTTTAACATTTAATTTATTCCTGTGACTGCAAAGTTGAATTTTCAACAGCCATTACTTCATTCTTTTGTGTTACACAATGCTTCAGAAAACATTCTAAAATTGTAATTTATTTTGCTTAATTACTATTAATGCTCAATTATTAATATGATAATTATTTTATATTAATAACCTTTATTTTTTTATACCAACCAACCCCCATTAATCCCTTCTCCAAACTCCACTCCATTTAAATTAAAAAAGTTAAAAAGTTAACTTTTTATTCTAAAACATCAAACAATAAAACAATTGTTCTACATCAAACTTCGAAAAAAAAAATAATAATAATAATGTCCTGCAAACCTTTATAATTGTACACAGAGACTTCTAACTTTTACTGTCGCGTCAGGAGGATGATGGTCATTTATTTTAACGATTTTCTCAACTTAATTTTTTTGTGACGTGCCACTTCCCGGGGACACATTCTGCTGATTATTTCTAAATTACCTAAAATAATCAGGTGTTGGTTGTTTGCGCTGCGACAATCGATCGTTGTATGACATCAAAGCACCGTGAGAGCTATAGAGCGTCTCCATGCTTTCGAATCGCTCTGGCGGTTTCAAAACCTGGTTATTTTAGGCAATTTAGAAATCCTGTGCAAAACGTGTCCCTGGGAAGTGGCACGTCTGGTCACCTTGCTAAAGTGACAGGTTTACAACTGCACTCAGTGTTGCAAAAATCCCTACTTTCTCCTGCATGTAGCACTTCAATCCCTCCTAAATGGAATATTTTTGGTACCAACAACTTAAATCTCTCTCTAGAGAGCCCCTTTCCCTTTTTCTTAGCTATTAAATGACACATTTTGATGATGTTTCTGGTTGGGACGTCCCTGAAGGACAATGCTTCTGAGTCTCTGCGCTCTCTCCCTTTTATCTCCAGCACCCTGCTGCCCGAGGTGAAGGAGCTGTACCTGGAAGCTGCCCAGCACAACTCGGACACGATCGACCCAGACCTGCAGACAGGGTTGGGAGTGCTGTATAACCTCAGCTCCGAGTTCAACAAAGCAGTGGAAGCCTTCAACGCAGCGCTGTCAGTGCGGCCGGAGGTAAATCCCTTCTCAGTGTACTCGACTGACAAACTGGGGCTAAATCACACAGAAATGCTCCCTAAAGGCAGAAGGCAAAGGAGAGAGGGAGAAAAAGTCACGGGGGCTTAAAAAGAGTCTCCGAAATCTTTGAAACAGTTCATTTGAAACTTGAGGGGAGCTTTACCATTCATGAGCGCTGACTCCAGAACCCTGTGGGTCACCTTGTCGACGATTGATGCTTGCTAAGCCAAATTCTGTCCCCCTGTGTAGACTGCATTTACACTCAATCGAAAATCCTCCCCATCTGCTTGACTTGGTAATGTCTGCTTGCCTGCTGGGGGGCTCAGAGCGTGAATACGATGAAAGATAATGGCAATGTGGAAGTGAAACTCTGATACCAGGCTCCTTGTGACATTAGGAACTAGGCAACTTCTTTGTACCTCTGTTTTATGCAGTGTCACTGTACTTAAAGGTCATATTTTATCCCTAAAAGAAAGAGAGCAGATTATATCTTAATGGTATTAACAATCAGTCGCATGTAACTGCGTAATCTTTGAAGCGCAGAGCGATAATTATTTTGATCCGTGACACTGAGCCGGAGGGGATTCTTTTTGCCGGTGGTGTGTACAGGACTACCTGTTGTGGAATCGGCTGGGGGCGACGCTGGCTAATGGAGATCGCAGCGAGGAGGCTGTGGAGGCCTATACCAGAGCCCTGGAGCTGCAGCCCGGCTTCATCCGCTCACGTTACAACCTCGGTATCAGCTGCATTAACATGGGCTCTCACAGGTTTGTGACAGAGAGTTGGGCTTGACCTGAAAATTATGGAAAATATATCCCCCAACTTTTTGTTTAAATACTTTGATCCTGAGGTTCTGTTGGAATAAATGCAGCATAATAAGGAAGCATTTATTCCTTGATTTATGGGTGTTTCTTCAACTGCTGGAGCTTTTGTGTCCCAGTTTTTTGTTTGTTATGAGGGTCACATTAAATGCCTTCAGAATTGATTTGAGCTGCTTTTCAAATGCATTTATGCATATTTTATTATTTTACTCTTGGCCCACACTTAGCTTTTTAATCTTTAAAATAAGAAACTCCATTATAAAAGTATTATTAATTATGATTTAGTTACGAAAATACTCGATGAGCCTGAAGTTTGAAAGTTATGCTTTTGTACAAGCCATATAATCAGATAGATAGATAGATAGATATCCGGTCAAAATTAGGATTCTAAGGATAAAAAGTCTCTTGCTCACCAAAGTTGCCTTTATTTGACTAAACATACAGTAATATGTTCTACACAAAGATATTAGATAGTTCTACACAAATTAGAGCTCTTTAATCAAAAAATCTGACCTGACTTTATTGTTTCATAGAAGAAAATATAGGTAAACAGCAGGTAAAATATATTAAAGAAATGGGTAAATATCACTTGTAAACAAATTTTAGTGTTCATGATTTCCAGTCAAATTTGTCAAAATATGTGAAAATATTATTTAATTTTGGGTATTTAAAATGCATACAATTTAAGCTATACAATTAGCCTTAGCAAGCCAAACGAATCTGCCCTTTTACTGCAAAAAATGTGTACAATGTTCATAATAAATGCTATTAAACATAATGTATAATTAAAAAAAAAAATAGTGGAAATATTCACCTCATTAACTACATCAAATTTATTTATTTTTTTTACAAAAATAACTGAATTCTTATGTGCATAATATGTTCACTGTTGTAGAAGGACAAATAAATAAACCATTCAAAATGTGTGGGGAAAATATTTTCTGAATGACCACAGGGTCAAATGTGCCCATATATGTAAAGAGACCCTTTTTATTTATTTCATTGCTTATTTATTGCAGGGAGGCAGCCAGTAATTTCCTGACGGCTCTTAGCCTGCAGAGGAAGAGCAGGAGTCGGCAGCTTTCGCACCAGGTCATGTCTGGAAGCATCTGGGCGGCCCTGCGGATAGCGCTGTCCATGCTGGACCAGCCGGAGCTCTTTCAAGCTGCTAACATAGGAGACCTGGACTTACTCATGAGAGCTTTTAACCTGGATATGTGAGCGAGGATACCCTTTAACCATGTCAAATATCCAAACTCCTTTATGAGAAGAACTTTGTCAGAAAAGCAACCTTTGTTTCGCAGAGCACCTTTACATTCCTGAGAACTGAGTGCTAAATAATAATACTATTTTACTAGATTTGCACATCAGTTTAAGGTTACCCTAAAGAGCACAAAGCCGGGTGAAGATTGTACAAGTATGCCTTAGAGAAAATATCAGCTAGACCTGCAAAGTAACAGTGGGAATCGGAGGAAACCACAATTGATGAGAGGAACGCAGACTATAAATGTGCAAGAACAACATTGGCTTCACATTAATGATTTGATTAGACGTACTGTACTGCGTAGACTTCATGTATTGGTTCGATTGCACTCTTTATTTGAGATGGTGGGGTTATTATCCATTTTGGTGGCACTTAGTTCAAACCTGGACACTCCTCACCTGATCTCTGCTGCATCATCCCCTTTATTTCCTGGAGCTTGCAGACCAGATTAAAAAGCCTTACTTGTCTTGCATTTAAAATAAATAATTGAGATGTTATCGGTATGATACCAGATAAAAGCCATTCCTTGCCATACTTTGACCTCTTGATGTAGAAGTCTATTTTCCATCAAGGTCTTTTTGTGAAACATACCACATCTTTGAAATGTTATGCTGATTATTTCACAAAATTCAATGCACTGCCCCTTTTGCCACAGTTATCAGCCTGGGATTGACAGGAAAACAAGAAACTGCCCAAAATATGAGCCAAACTATTTGTGAGCTTCACAGTTTTATACCCTAATATTGTTGTGTTCCTCATATTACTTGTTATGGTTCATCTTCAGCTTGCATGATGTTTTATTTTGCTCATCAGTGTGAACATGCAAGTGCTTAATGTTGCATATACGCTTCAAGAAAAGTCCTACATTTAAAAATGCTATGCAAAACCTATAGTTTTTTTTTTCATGCAGCCGGAAGCAGAAGAAAAGCCTAAAGCACCAGAAAGCTGTACTTGCTTTGTCACATTTTGTGTTTTAAGGTGTAAACTGGTAGGTAGAAGGTATAAGATCTGGTAGTCCCCTGTAGATGGTTTAGTGTATTTTAAGACTACATCTACATTAATCCAGATACATCTGAAAATGTCTTTTTCTCAACATTTTGGCATTTCGTCCCCACTGAGGTGCTGTTTTTGTTCTGTGAAAACAGCTTTTAGAAGATTCTGACGATAGTCGATACATTTGAAAATGCCACAAATTTGTGGAATAAAACGTTTTCGCATGGCAATGTGAAATGTGAAAATGGACACATTCGAATATGATATTTGACACGTTTAGTCATGTGACACGTTGTAGCTATACATACCAACATGTGCCAGCTATGTGCTATTCACCTGCACATTAAAGATATTAAATTCTTTACTATCTCTATATTACATTACTGCAAAAATAAAAATTTACTCGCAATTGCTGTCCTGCAGCAAATCATGAGGACAGTTGTGACGCCATACATGAAATAGCAATTGAGTGCGACCTGGACACACCATTAAGTGGTGAAATATTTTGCTAAGAAAATGATTGTGCACGAAGAATAGTGTGAGAACTTTATATGTGGTCTCTCGGATTCATCTCAGTGAGCTGAAACACATCAGCTCAGTTATGCATGCATATTGAGATGATTTAAAGGGACAGTTCTCCCCAAAATAAAAAATTCTGTTAACATTTACTCACCCTCATGTTGTTCCAAACCTATTTGAACTTCTTTCTTCTGTTGAACACAAAAGAAGATATTTTAAAGAATGTTTGTAACCAAACAGCTGCCGGTAGCCATTGACTTCCACAGTATTTTTTCCCCATACTAAGCCAATGGCTACCGTCAACCATTTGGTTACATTCCTCAGAATTTCTTCTTTTGAATCAGAATTTTTATTTTTGGGTGAACTATCACTTTTTCAAGTTAGTTTTTTTTTTCAACGTTTTACTGAGGAAGTGAAACTACTGGAAAATGCCAGTGTAACAAAAAACCATTTTCAAATGTATCAGGATTAATTTAGACGTAGCCTAAGCAATGGTTCTAATCCAGCTGAGCTTTTATTTGTAGCGTCATATTTTTATTATTCCCACCTAGTGCAAGAATTGATTTATTTAAAAAACTATATCAATGAAAAAGCATGCAAAGCCATTCAAGCACCCATTATAAAGTGTTATTAATTGTTACTATATTTATTTAATTACTGCTCTATGAATTTATTTTATTATTCTGTATCCAAACCTATTTGGAAAGTCCTGTATATGCTCATCGATACAGTTAGAAGAGGCTTGTGCTTTGTAGCTGAATGTTACAGTAGATACTGTAGATTCTCTCACGCCTGAGGCCAAACCTCCCCTTTTCTAGAACTTTGTACAATCTCAGGTGATTGTCTAGATGAATTCATGCTCCAGAAGTACTCCTGATGTATGATCGCATGCCGAATATCCTTATTTTTGAATGCTGTAGATTTATTTATATGCATGACCTTGACATGCCTATTTTAATCTATACCCTTCATTTCTATGACTTATATATAACTGTAATCACAATATTTTGCATTTCAAAATATATATTGATCTGAAGAATATGGCATATTAACTGTAAAATATCTACAAACAAGCAGTTTTTGCATTGCAGTGATTGATCTCAACAAGACCTTCTTTATAGTGACTTGTATTACTATTGCAAAAGTCAGATTTACTAAAGCCTTTAGAGTTAGAGACTCAAATATATGTTATGCATCATTCAGAGCTGTTTCTGAATTTGTACAAGCAAACTTTCTGAATGTTTGCCATAGGCTTTATTAACTGGCCCAATATTTAAAAGATAGATGCATATAGAAAAGTTATCTTTTAAAATAAAATATTGGAATAGAATTTGTATGCCTGGTTGTTGCTGTTGATCACAAATTGTTGCCATGAGCGCATTTAGCTGTTATTTTTGTAGGGGCTCAAAAACAAAGGTTCCACTGTTGAAATCTCCCGTTTCCAATCTGGCATCACCAAACATGAAAATGGCACAGAGAAACAATTGTGGATTTTATTGAACAATCCAAACATTATGAGTCACAAGTATGTTTGAAAAGATTTTCGAATGAGGATTCCCACATTTGCCATGTTTGTGTTTCTGAACAATATATGGATCAGGAAATCCATAAAAAAAAAAAGTATAACAAACAAGTGGGCAAGTTTGTAAAGTAACTACAGAGTTGGCACACTTTTTGCAAAAAAAAAAAAAAAAGATAACGACTTAATTGTCAGTTCCATGAAAAACAGAACCCGCTAAAAATCAATAAGATTATATTGCAAAATGTCAACTGACTAACCTCTGATTTTTAGTGCACATACTGAAAAAATAAATCAAGACATGTTTGAGAAAGGTGGGGTAAAAGCATCCACTTTCACACCCAAAAACAGACAGAAAGAGAAGCAGGAGGAAATGGGTATGAATATTCATTCAAAGTAAGAAAGAGAAGGAGAGAAAGAGCGAGAGAACCTCGGATGGATAAGACATGCACAACACGAGGTAAAGGAACAAAGACACTGAACTCCCAACATAAAAGGTAGTGCACAACAGAAATAAACATGACAGGATACAATCTACAACTAATGTGCAACATCCAGTTGAAATAAATCGAGATGAACAGGCCCCACCTCAGCCTGAGTGAGATTATGTCATAAAACAATGAATATTCAATTTTAAATCAGCACTAACCTTCAGTCTGAGGCTCACAGCGTAATAAAACACTTTAAAGGATACTTGCCAAGAACGTATTCGGCTTTTGTTTGTTAACAACACACTTTTTCAGCAAATAAATTAAATGTCTAAGGTCTGAAATTGGTAAAGGGTGATGGAGGCGGAGCCAAGGTTTTTCAGATATGTCATAAAGCTTGAGAGCTTGAGATTTGGTAACACTGAGCACCAATACATACATGTATCTGAGATAGTTCTATGTATGACACTGCATATAATTCAGCTTTATATGCAGTATGTCATCACATATTGCTTAGGTACTTCTAAGAAGTAGATGACTTTGTTTTTTCATTAAAACAGATTTGGAGAAATTTAGCATTACATCACTTTCTCACCAATGGATCCTATGCAGTGAATAGGTGCCGTCAGAATGAAAGTCCAGACTGCTGATAAAAGCATCACACATGTCTCGAGCCCATCTGTTAACATCTTGCGAAGTGTGTGTTTCTTACAAACATGCAGCTTTTCATTTCACAAAATGTTAATTGATGTACTGGAGTCGTTTGGATTACTGCAGTGTTTTTTCAGCTGTTTGGACTCTCATTCTGACGGCACCCATTCACTGCAGTGAATCCACTGGTGAGAAAGTGAATGCTAAATTTATGCAAAAATCTGTTTTGATAAAGAAACAAACTCATCTACATCTTGGACGTCGATTTTCAGGAAATTTTCATTTTTGGGTGAACTATTCCTTTAACGAATAAGTCGATGGTGCCACATACATGGATGAATCTGAATGCTAGAATAAATATCTAACAGCAAACTAAGACCTACCAAACAAGGACCATAGTCCAATATTTCAATAAACATGCCTGCTAACACTTTTTTTCCTGTATGGGCATGATTCAAAAATTTTTTGTGAAATAATCACATTATGTTTTGGATCGATTGCAGCTCCCACAAAATCCACTTAATGTGATCTCTATTTGAAATCCATTCTGACATATTTTTTGTTGTTGTTGTTGAACAACTGTAAAACCCAAAGGATATGAAATGAATTGCAGTGAGTACGTTCTGCTGAGATGGCAGTAAAAACATTTGTAAATGCAGGCACACATTATATTTTTAAAAGAAGTACGTCTGGAAAATACTGGCACAGGAGCTTAAAGTATTCAAAGAGAAATATAACAAATAATTTCAGAATATATTAGGAAAATAATCTGCATACCTAAAATTGCACGCACCCCACTGTACCTTTAAATCAGACACGAGACGAACAAATAAACAAAACTCAGATGGATGACACACGTTGGTTTCCCTGCTAGACCGTTCCCGTGGTATGAGCGTCTGTGCAGGTCCTTGGCAGGGACTGAGAGGTCCTCTCTCCATCTCACAGATGTAAATGCTTCCCTAGTTTCCAGCAGTGTCAGTGGTGCCCCACACACCTCTCTTGCCAAATGGCTGTGCATAATGGTATGAAGGTCCAGATCTAGCAGCTTGACAGGCGCCGGTAAAAGTACATGTAGCCCAAGTCTTTAGGGGGCCTCTCTGACAAACATACTTTGTGGTCGTTGTAAATCAGCCATCTAGGGAAGTTAAAATTATATATATAGTTTGAGTATATATATATTATATTATTATCTTATATAAAATAAGAACAAATAATCTAACTACAAGCAACATCACAAATAAATAAACAGTGAAAAAAGATAAAATAAAATAAACAGTGCTTTTCAGTTTTTTTAGGTAGGTCTAACATAGTTTTTAGGTACAGAAATTGAATAAATGTAAAATAACATTGCATATTTGACTGTATAAATTAAAGATTAATCCTTATTAAAGTTACAAAAGTTATTCAATCAAGAGCAGTGAGAGATTTCTGTGTTGTTGCGGTTTGATTAACATTAAGAAAGTGCTGTCACTTTAAGAGAACGCACTGATCCAGTGCACTGATACTGTAGGTTCAGCTGCATTCCACGCCACTTTTAGACATGCACTTGTGAACTTCCCTAAGTACTTCCCCTCGGGGGAATCCCGGCTGCCATTTTGAAGTGAGTTCCACTTGGTGAAGTGGAAGAGGGAAGTTTATATGGACAGACCCTCAACCCCTCGATTTTGACTGAGGGAGCGAGTCTGCTTCATATGCACACTTCAGGCCGCTCCATAGACCACAATGCAACACGATTGTGACGTCATCGCAGATCCCGTTTAATTTATCCTCACCCCAAACAACTCTATAATATATAAATGATTGTTTTAACATTTATAACAGCCCAAACATACCTATATACATATAGAATGCTGCACCAAACAAATTCATAAGGAAAAAAATGTAACCAATAAACCAATCCCATAGTTGATTCTAAGTGATCAAGGGCTTAGGACGCTCCAGTTCAGCCCATTCCAAGGGTTCCGCCAGAAGTGGGCACTCACGCAACGTAATCAATGATGTACATCCGAGTAAACTAGACGGAGGGAAGTTTGCGAGTGAAGGGCATAAAAAAAACGGACTGGAACACAGCCCAACAACAAATCAGAGATGCACCGGCGTCTTATGTTTATGGAGATGAGAACTAAAAAACTGCCCCGGAACAGCTATCAGCGTGGAATGTAGGCATCGATCATGTTATCATTGCAGAGCGCATATTGAGTCCGTGAGTAGCCTAACTTCTCAGCTCGGATCGCAGGTGGATTTCCCTCACTATATGAGTGAGAGAGAGCCGCCGGTGCATCCAGTTTTATGTCAACAAAACTGGATGCTCTCTCTCTCTCTCTCTCTAGATATTACAAGTGCGCGTTATGCAGTGTGGGCAGTGGGCGCTGACCGGCAGAAACATAAATCTGCACCTATGGCATGGACGAAG